GGGGAAGGGGAGGGGGATCCTATTTTTTTCTCTCTGGTTTTTTTTTTTGGTGATTGAGAGCACATTCATTACAGCTGCGGACCGTGAGACAAGGAAAGGCTAGGATAGCAGAGGCCACAGGCCAGCGTAGGCAGGGCTTTGGCCCTAGAAATGTTACAGGAAGGAAGTGAGCCACACTGGGCTGCGGGGACTCGCTGAGCAGTAAAATCACAGCCACAGAAGCGGCCCCGGGGGCTGCTGTGGCTCCCGGAAAGCCTCGGCTGGAAGCAGCCGGAGAGAGACGCGGCGGGGCTTTGGCTCAGGAATGTTACAGCAAAGGAGCCGCGACTGGGCGGCTGGCCGCGCACTGAGAAGTCAGGGCAAAGGCGACCCTGGAGACAGGGTCAGAGGGGAGCCCAGGAGAGGGGAGCCCAGGGCAGGTCGCTGCTCGCTGCTCCCCTGCTTGTAAGACTCCTGGGGGCCCCGGGAGAGGAAAGTGACAGTGTGGTGTCCCGTGGCCAAGCAGCGTCCAGGGCGGAGCCACGGGCCACCCGGCGTGGGCTCCTCTCAGATGACCTGGGCCCTGGCGCTGGGGCCGCGGAGCCGCCTCCGGGTCTGCCAGTGGCTGGCACGGGGGAGTCCCTCCATTTATTGTTATTTATTTTTTTAAATATTTTTTTTTATTGATTTCAGAGAGGAAGAGAGGAGAGATAGAAACATCAATGATGAGGAAGAATCATCGATCGGCTGCCTCCTGCACGCCCTCTTTGGGGGATCAAACCCACAACTTGGGCCTGTGCCCGTGACCGGAATCGAACCCGGGACCCTTCCGTCCGCGGGCTGAAGCTCTAGCCATTGAGCCACACCAGCCAGGGCGGGAGTCCCCCCATTTAGAAGAAATAAAAAAGAAGGTAAGGACGCTCCTGAGAGGGAAGACGTGGGGTGGCCGTGCCCCATTGAGAGCCGGCCCACACTCGCATGTCCGGCCCCGGGGGCACACGCTCCGATGGGCGCGGAGCAGGGACCCTGTCAGGCGGGAGGGGCGAGGACAGCGTGAGGGGAAGCCAGCACGACATCACCCTCACCCCAGAGGTTCAAGCAGGAGACCAGTGGTTCGCGAGGGAGGGACCTTCTCCTGGCTACGCCCGGGGACACATGGTCTGAGCTGTAACAGAACCAGACCAACAGGACCCCCGTCTGGGCTCCTGGGAAACGCAGACAGAACCGGTCTCTGTGGCGAAGGAGAAGGAACCGTGAAAGTGGGAACGGGACGGAGGCGCCGCGTAAGCCAACGCCACACACGCTTCTGTCGGAAAGTGATTCTGAAGTCGGCCCCACAGGAGGCGGTCAGGCCCCGGGATTGCCGCGTGCACTGTTTTCAATGAAGAATGAAGGAAGACAGAGCACTCCTGCCTCACGGCGACTGGCCAGTAAAAATCCCGCGGAGGGGACACTGGGACGCGGCTGGGAGGAGGGCAAGCAACGAAAGTGTGCAAGGAGGCGACAGGCAGGCGTGTGTGAGCGGCTGCAGAAATGGCGACACGTGCTGTGACAGAAAACTCTGATGCTAACGCACGACCCCCCGGACCCTGCCGACGGGGCGCCCCTGTGCCGGAGGGTTATGAAAAGTGTTGAGCGTTTTAAAGGTGAACAAAACCATTCATTACAACATACACCATTTTAAGTGCAGGCTGTTTTCTTTCCGTTGTACGGAAGTGTGATCAGGAATAGTTTAAGCCTTACTTCATGTTTCAGGCCTTTTAGTGGGATGAAGTCGGGGAGAGAGAAAAGAGGAAGCGTATGAAACGCACTTCCTCCGGCGACGAGGGACGCACACTGGCGGGGAGCCGGTCCAGGGGCTTACACAGGTGATGTGTTTAATTTTTCAGAAGAAAAAGGGAAAAGAAGTGCTGAGGCGTGAGGACCCTTCTCCACCATGACCACTAGGTGGCGGTGTTGGCCCAGAACAGTTTGGTTGCTGTTGGGTGGGGTGAAGTACAGCCAGGGGGCCAGGGGGCCAGGGGGCCAGTTACGGTTTGGGCACATGGGGGAGGGGGAGAAAGAGAGTGAAACACGAGGACCTGTGGGCCCATTTGTGTGAATATGTGGGCAGGCAGCGCATCCACACACACACCACCTGTCGCCCTGAAGCTCCAGGGCTGACATGGAGACGTTTCTCACAGGGACGTCTTCACCCAAGGACCTGCCTGGACGCTCCTCCCGCTCGAGCCTGCACACGCCCGAGTCAGTGACGTGCTGAGGTCGTGTTACTCACTCGGAGGTGCCCGGACCTCCTAACGTCGCAGGCGTGTGACCGTCCACCTCTACACTCACATGAGCTCCCTGTCCCCGCACTTACTGTCTCACACAGTCGCAGAAGCACACGTGCACAGGCACACACGTATGTAAACATCTTATACACATGCGTGTCCATCCCACAGAAGTAAACATCGGGCTGGCGTCTGAAAGCTGGGCCAAAGGAGCATTCGTAGGAGAAAGCCCTCTGGACCCTTGTGAACTGGGAGGGCAGCCAGTCGGGGCTGCGAGGGAAGGTCCGACGTGATCAACCCTTTAGGAACCTAACGGTTTCTGACAACAGGATGTTGGGACCTCGCTGCCCCTGTTCCCGACAGCGGCCACGTCAGAACCCCTCCCCCCCCGCCTCCCCCCTTCCCCCCC